TGAAGAGGTGACCGTCAACGCAGAGGTAGACGGCCGCCAAGTGGCCGTTTAGTTGCATTTGTCATCCAGCCCAACCCATGAGATAATTGACCAATCGTTTTCCGAGCGTAATATTGACTCCACCTTCTTAATGCCGATTGGACGATTTCAAGCCTGCTTGCATTGAAGCAAACAGTTGCAGCGAAGATTCGTAGCAGTGCGGTTGTGTGTTATTTGCCTGTCCATCTGTCGGTGTGTCCATCGGTCAGTCTCACTCCGTCTCGGAACATGGTGGTCAGCTGTTGGCCGTTTCCATGGTCTTCGTCTTATATTTTGTTTGCGCTGTTGTTGTGGCCCATGACCCCCGTGGTCTTCATCGCGGAAGGAGGATTTTACGCATCGGAATTTCATGCCGAATGCCCATATCCCTGCGTCTGCGAGGGCCTGACGGTCAGCTGTGCAAACAAAGACCTCACCGACGTCCCTGTGAACATCCCACCGGAAACGCAACGACTGTATGCCTTTTTCTTCTTCAGTTTTCCATCTTATAAGAACAACCGCCTAAACTCTGTTTTAGCGACTTGCAAGAAAACCGCATCGCCGTCATCCGCAAGTCGGATTTCATGAATTTGAAGAACCTGAAAATCTTGTACGTACCTGTTCCCGTCTGATCTTAAAGTTTGTTCGATCAGCTTCTTTCTTCTTGTAGGCAGCTGATGGAGAACCACATTCACACTGTGGAGCCAGATGCCTTCAATGATCTGATCGAACTGGAAAGAATGTGAGTTTTGTATGACCCCTTGCTTAAATCCGGCGGTTGGTCGACCGGTCAGAAGTCTGTTGGTCGGTCGGTCGGGCTTTGACATTTTTTCGTTCGACGCCTTTCGGCGACGTCGTGGTTTATTGTCCTTGCTTTCAGACGCCTGAACAAAAACAGACTGCGCACGTTGCCAGATGGACTTTTCCGAAATGCCCCGAAATTGAGCAGGCTGTAAGTGTTGCCTTCTTGCGTCAGCTTGGCTTAAAGTGTCGTATGTTTTTTTTTGTGAAGCTTACTGAAAGTTGTTTAAGCTTTCGTGTTTCGAATGTTAGTGTTTCCGACCAGCTTAACGTAGGTCTAAGCTGAACGTTGAGCTTTTGATCTTTACGTTGACCTTTGACCGTTGACTCTGTTCATGTAGTTCAAAGCAGTATTGTTCCAGAGGTTCAAACTGAGGCCGAGATTACGACACGACTGTGAGTAACAGACAGAACCGCCGGTGACGGTATCGTACTACTTTTCGAACATGCAATAAAGTTTTCAAGTTTGGTTTTGTGGTTCCCTTGTCATTCGTCACTCATCGTTTCAGTGATGACACATATCACT